ATAGTGATGACGATGGTGGTGTTGTGACTGAGAGTGATGACGTGGTGACGGTGACTATAGTGTAAGGTGACCAGACGTCCCGCTTTTAGCGGGGCAGTCCCAGTGTTTAACAATTTTTCCCACATCCCGCAGCGTTTTTAAAAAGTCCCGATTTTTGGAAAGAATGCATGACAAGGTAGGGTATATGGTTTTCAGCTGCCATCTGGCTATTTCTCCAGGATATGCGTTTTTATCAGTGGTGTCCTGCTTTTGTCTCGCTTTACCAATGTTAAAATCTGGTCATCATACTATAGTGTGACTGAGTGACACTGCTTAACCCCCTAGGTGTACGACGTTCCACCATCAGTCAGCAAGGATGTGCCCGATGGTGTGCTGCTTCGCGAGGAGACGTACGACGTGCCCCCTGCCTTTGCCAAGGCCAAGCCCTTCGACCCGGCCCGCCACCCGCTAATCTTGGCTGCACCCCCTCCGGACTTGCCGACGACTGAGGATGTGTACGATGTTCCCCCACCTGCTCCTGACCTCTACGATGTGCCCCCTGGCCTGCGGCGGCTGGGCCCCAACACCCTCTACGATGTGCCCCGGGAGCGGATGCTGCCACCGGAGGTGGCCAATGGCCCCGTGTCTGATGATGGCGTGTACGCAGTGCCCCCCCCAGCCGAGCGTGAGGCCCCTGCTGACAGCAAGCGCCTGTCGGCCTCAAGCACGGGCAGCACACGCAGCAGCCAGTCGGTGTCCTCCCTGGAGGTGGTGGCACCAGGCCGGGAGCCGCTGGAGCTGGAGCTGGCCATGGAGGCTCTGTCCCGACTGCAGCAGGCCGTCAGTGCCACTGTGGCCCACCTCCTGGACCTGCTGGGGGGTGGGGGCTGGCGTGGTGCCCCGGAGCCTCAGGAGCTCCAGGGGCAGGACCTGCGGGCCGCTGTGGCTGCTGTCCAGGGGGCTGTGCACGAGCTGCTGGAGTTTGCCCGCAGTGCGGTCAGCAACGCTGCCCCTACTTCCGACCGCACCCTGCATGCCAAGCTCAGCCGGCAGCTGCAGAAGATGGAGGATGTACACCAGACACTGGTGGCCCATGGCCAGGCCCTCGACACTGGCCGAGGAGGCCCAGGGGCCACACCTGAGGACCTGGACCGTCTAGTGGCCTGCTCCCGGGCTGTGCCCGAGGACACCAAGCAGCTGGCCTCCTTTTTGCACGGCAATGCCTCACTGATCTTCAGAAGGACCAAGGCCCCTGCCACAGGGCCCGAGGGGGGTGGCACCTTGCACCCCAACTCTGCTGACAAGGCTTGCAGCATCCAGTCACGGCCTCTGCCCTCACCCCCCAAGTTTACCTCCCAGGACTCGCCAGATGGGCAGTACGAGAACAGCGAGGGGGGTTGGATGGAGGACTATGACTATGTCCACCTGCAGGTGGGTGCCCACCTGGCCCCTTAGGAAGATGCTCCCACCCCTCCCTCTTGGGGACCCTGGGTGTCCTCCCCACCATGTACCCATAGGACCGTGGGGGGCAGACACTGAATGGGGCTGACAAGCCCATCCCATATTCTCCTCTCCCTGTGACCTGCTGGCTGCCCCTCCCCCTGGGAGTCACAGTGTCTGCCGAGTACGCACCTCCTGAGTTCGGTGTCCAGTGGTGGCCCAGTGCCCTTGGGGGAGATGAGTGGTAAAGAGATCATTTCTGGCGCAGGTGGTGGGAAGGTGGGTGACCCCTGGGACATGGGTGCCAGTCTCTCAGGCAGAAGTCCAGGGGTCGTGTCCAGGCTGAGTGTATGAAGCTTCTGGGCCTACTTTAGCTTGAGGGCAGAGGTTTGGATTTGACTCTGGGTGGGTAGGGCTGGCTGTGGCCATGCAGAGTGGGCACCGTCCTATGCCTGGCCACTTCTAGGCTGCACTAGCAGCTTAGGGACGCTCACTTGCCTGGGCGGGTAGCCAGCAGTTGTCTCTGGTATCACTGTTGTTTCGCCCTGGTGGCATAATGGGTTGTATTGGGCTGCTAACCTCAAGGTCAGAAGCTCGACACCACCAGCAGCTCCACAGGAGAAAGACAAGACTCTGCTCCCATGAGCAGTTGTAGCTCCGGATCCCACCTCATCCTGTAGGGTCACCACGAATTGAGGAGCTCGCTGGGAGTGTGGAATTGTAGGTGACGGACATGTGTGCACACAGTGCCACCTGGTGGCTGATCCCCATCGCTGTGCCCCAAGGCTGGCTTGTCCTGAAGGAGAGGTTATGTCTCAGCCTGTGCTTGTCTCCCCGCAGGGGAAGGAAGAGTTTGAGAAGACGCAGAAGGAGCTGCTGGAGAAAGACAGCATCATGCGGCAGGGGAAGGGCCAGCTGGAGCTGCAGCAGGTGAGGCCCTGACGGCTCTGTGGGAGCCCTGGCTCTCCTCCCCAGCCTCCGCCCACATCCAGTCTGGTTATTTTACACCTTTTAAAAAAAAATCATTTCATTGGGGGCTCGTACAAGTCTTATCACAGTCTCTTTGACACTCTTATCAGGTGCGTCCTAGGAGCGGACCAGAGCCTGCAGAGGGCCGGCTCCCCGCTGTTCTCGGGGCTCCCCGCTGTTCTTGGGGCTCCTCGGGTCGGGACGATGCTGGGGCGGGGCGCAGGCCTTGGCTTGTGTCTTGGACTGTTTTCCATGGCATTAAGCCTGCTTCGTGAATTGTCTTTAAAGGCCACTTAATATGTCCACTCCAGGAGCCCTGGTGCCATTGTGGGTTACACACCGGGCTGCTAACCCCATAGTCAGCAGTTTGAAGCCACCCGCCAGACTTGCTACTTCCATGAAGCGTGAGTCTTAGACATCCACAGGGCAGTTCCTCCCTGGTCTGCAGGGTCCCTGTGAATCAGAATCAACTCGGTAGACCCGCCCATTGGGTTTCCGAGCCTGTGTAACATGACAGGAGCGCAGCCTCATCCCTGAGCCGCCCAGAGCCGGACCTGCCATCCCAACAGAGCTCCTCTGGGGGTGGGGGTGGGGGGCACTTTGATTCTGGAGGTGATGTAACCAGAAAGTAGAGGACCCCAGAGTGGGTCCCAAGCCTCATGGGCAGGCAGGTAGCTGCCCAAGCAGGAAAGTCTGAGGCTTGCGGGGGTTCATTGGAGGGGTTGTGGGGGGGCCACGGTTTGGGTGGGTAAGGACTGAAAGCTTGCACTTGGATTAGACGGAATGAACCCACCCCCAGTCTGGGCTTGGCAGGACGCTGCTACACGCACCCCTGGGTGGTCGCAGCCTGCCTGCCCCCAGCGACAGCAGCTGGGGTGGGGTGGGGATTTTTCTGTCCCACAGGTGCTTTCAGAGCTGCTCAGGGAGGGAATCAGGTGAAAGAGGCGGCGTGGTCACAGGTGGTAGAGGAGCCCCACCCGCTGGGGCTCTATTATGAAAACCTTCCAGAACAGCCCTCATGTTTTTGTGTGTGTCAGTGTTTTAATTTTCTGAATATTTTTCTAAATACCACGTGCCGTACTTTTCCCTTTGTTTGAAAATCTTCTGGTGGGAGCTTCCAGACATTTGTAAATTCTAAAGTGAGCCCTTAGTGACCTGTCACCCAGTTCCGGCAAGTTTCAGCACAACATATCCTGTGTCGGCCAAACCAAGCAAACCTTATCGGTTATTTTGGAGCAAATTAAGACATTGTATCATTTCATCTGTAAATTCTTTGGTACTGAGCTGTGAGAGATAGCGTACCACAACTTTAATAACCGAAAACAGAAGCTATTTCTGTGCTGCATGAGGTGACGGGCAGTTTCTGGCCCTTTTTTTTTTTTAGTCCTTTTTACCATGTTTGTATTCTAGGTTACTTTTAAAATAAGGCTTTTTGTTTTGTTTTGAACTTTGCATTTTGGAAATTTTACAGATTTACAAGAAATTGTAAATATTGTCCTGTTTACACCCTGCCCAACCTCCCAATATCCCAATGACTTACTCTTTAGGTACTTGTATCCCAATATTGAAATCAGGAAACTAGTGTCTCTTTCCTGGGTGGGACATATGGCTCCTGCACTGGTCTGCTACCTGAAAGGTTGGAGGGTCAAGCCCACCCAGAGGTGCTGCAGAAGAAAGGCCTGGCAGTCTATGGCCAAACACTCCACCACTGGGAACCTTTTGGAGCGCAGTTGTGCTCTGCCATGCGTGGGGTCGTCATGAGCCTGAATTGGTGCAACAGTCACTGGCAGTCCTGGTGGACTCCTGAAAATCGAATCCAAACCTCTGCCACCTAGGGGATTCTGACACAGGGAACTCCCCATTTAGGGAGTCCCCCATTTAGGGAGTCGGGTGGCTGAAACTCTTCAGTGGAGCAGACAGCCTCATCTTTCTTCCTCAGCACGCCTGGTGGATTTGAACCGTGAACCTTTTGGTTAACAGTCTAATTTCTCTCCCACAGTGTTTAAGTTTTGAGCTTTTTTTTTTCCTTCACCCCATTTTGAGAATGTCACATGCGTTAAATGGGTCCCTACAGCTAGGGCTGGCAGGAGAGTTGCTTTGTCTTAAGGACCTGGCCTCTCGCGGCTAAGGACAGCTGGTGGTGGTTCCGCCAGTGGCAGGCGCAGGGACTGCCTGTCCCACCACAGCCCCTTGCCGGAGGAAGGTGACGGACCAGCTTGCCCTGCGCTTGCTTGTGCTTTGCTAAGATCACTCCCGCTTTTCCTTGTTGCCCCAGCTGAAGCAGTTTGAGCGACTGGAGCAGGAGGTGTCACGGCCCATCGATCACGACCTGGCCAACTGGACCCCCACCCAGCCTCTGGTGCCAGGGCGGGCGGGCGGCTTGGGACCCTCGGACCGGCAGCTGCTGCTCTTCTACCTGGAGCAGTGCGAGGCCAACCTGACCACGCTGACCAATGCGGTGGATGCTTTCTTCACCGCTGTGTCCACCAACCAGCCTCCCAAGATCTTCGTGGCACACAGCAAGTTCGTCATCCTCAGTGCCCACAAGCTGGTGTTCATCGGGGACACCCTGTCTCGGCAGGCCAAGGCAGCTGATGTGCGCAGCCAGGTGACTCACTACAGCAACCTGCTGTGCGACCTCCTGCGTGGCATCGTTGCCACCACCAAGGCTGCCGCCCTGCAGTACCCATCCCCTGCTGCTGCCCAGGACATGGTGGACAGGGTAAAGGAGCTGGGCCACAGCACCCAGCAGTTCCGGCGGGTCCTTGGCCAGCTGGCAGCTGCCTGAGGGCAGATGACCAGAGGGTGGTGGCAGTGGGGAGGCAGCAATGGTCTGAGCTGTCCCTGGCACCATCCTGAGAATTGCCAGGCCACAGGCTGGGGACGGGCTGCCCCAGACTGCCCAGGGATGGGTACATGCTTATGACAGGGCAGGATGTGGGATGGAGAAGTCACACAGAGCTGGTCTCCAGGAGCCAAGTCCGGGGGTAGGAGGGTGGGGTGTGTATGCCCATAGCACTGTTGCCTGGGGCGGGCCAGAAGTCGAGGGTGGGGTGGCTGCCAACACAGGGCCAGGTCAGGGATGTGGCAGGTCCTCGTGTGTGACCCCTGGGGTGACCTGAGTCCCTGTGTCCTGCCAAACCCCCGACAGGGAAAGAACATGTGGTGTGTGCCCTGTCTGCACCAGAGGAAAACCTTAAAGAACTATTTTTCATTATTGATTTTCCAAATCATTTGACTAATAGTCTACATTTAAATAAAGTTTCAAAACTATTACTCCCGTGATGCATGAGGCAGAGGCAGGGCCCATGGGCGAGAAGGGCAACGTGGAGTGGAGATGGCGGGTGACGGGGATGGCGGGTGACGGGGATGGGTGGTGACGGGGATGGCGGGTGACGGGGATGGGTGGTGAGGGCTGCCTTTGCTTGTGGTATTTCCAAGGTGTTGTTGATCAAGCTGCATGGGACAGCCTTCATGTCTGGGTGGGGGGAGGAGGTCCCCCGGGGCCTCCTGCAGGCAAGCAGAGGTATACGTATATACAGGGTCTGCCCATGTGCAGAGCAGGCCCAGTGAGGTACAGGTTTCAGGCCTTGCCTGGGGGCTAAGTCCCTCTGCCCTCATCCTGGCCCTCTTGGTCTGGACAAAGCGTGGGGAAGGGAGGGGTGGGAGAGCTGAGCAGGAGCAGCTGCACTCAGTCCTGCCCTGGGCTGGCTTCCTCTCCACAGAGAACTGGAGCAGGCTCTTGGCCTCAGCTCCCCAGAGGGGACTCCAGCGAAGTTAGCTCCTCTATGCCTTGTGACATCAGCCCCGGGCCAGGCCCCCACCACGAGGACAATGTGAAGGACCAGGCAGTTCCTCTCGGGTTCGTGGAGGAGGGCAAGGGCAGGTGGGCTCATTTGGTTTCTGGAAACTCTTGTACCCAGGTCACACATTTGGTGACAAGGAAAATAAACACCTAGGAGGTCCCTGTCCTTCCCTCCCCGCTGCCCCCGACACTGGCCTCTCCACAGTGTTGGATGATCAGTGTATTTTTAAAAATCCCTCCCGCGTGCAGCTCAAAGACACACATGCCATCTTTCCCTATCAGTCAGATCATACAGTCCACCTGACAGCGGCAGCCCTGGTTGTCCTTTCTGTGAACCAGTTCGTTTTGATGGGCTCCAACCACACAGGGAGTCTCCAGCTCCGAGTGAGAGTGAGCTGACCCCGTGTTCTTCACGCCCAGTTTGCAGGGAAGGCAGAGAGGTGCAGACAGCTCCTAGTCTTCCTGACTGTAGTGCAGGAGAAGCCCGGCCTCTTTCGGGGCTTAAGAGGCTGCAGATGCTGCTGCAGACGGTGACTGTGAAGGAGCCTTTGTTTCTAGTTGAGGTCCAGGTGCTGAATCGCCTGCAGGGGGAGGACTTGTCAGGTGTGGGAGGGGGTGCTGGGGCCCTTGTGCGCTCTGACCTGGCGGCGTCTAGGAGCGGGGTTACAGAGAAATGACAGATGTGGACTCGCAGGCTCCATGGGCTGGTGCGCAGGTGCAGCGCCCACGCACCCGCGTCCACACCTGGCTAGTGGGCGCCCTGGGAAGCCTAACTGCGGGGAAGGGGTGGGCAGTGCGGACCCCGTCGTCAGTCGGGAGGATCCGGTGGCTGGAGGGGGAGAGTGGGGTTAGGACCCGTCGGCCGACCATCCCAGCTCCGTGAGGGGCCGAGGGCCTGCGCTCCCGCGATGCTTTCGATTCCTCAGGCCCGCACCGGACAGTGGCCAGCAAAACGGGGGCAATGCGGAGGCGGCCGTGGCACGGGGGGGTGGGACTTACGCCTTCTCTTCCGGGGCAGGGCGTGCACTTCCGGTGCGCGGGCTCGCTTCCGGGGGCCTGCTGTGCGGGCGGAGACGCCGCGTTGACGAGAGTCCCCGCGCGGGCACCCGCGTCCCACAGGTCACTTAGGGCAGGCTCACGCGCAACCTCTGTCCCCTGTCACCCACCGTGGGTTTCAGGCGTGCGTGCCGGGTTTCCAGGAGTGGATTTTGCAGCGGTGGGATGATTGAGGCGCGGCTGGAACTAGGCCCCGCCGCCCCCGAGAGGTACAGCCCCGCTAGGCCGTCGGGACGCCGAGGGAGGGAGCCGGCAGGCGACGGGGTCGGGGCGGGCGCGGCGGGAACGTGGGACCAAAGCGCATGGGACCGTGGCGAGATGGAATGTCTCTACTTTTCCACACGTCGCTAGAAGGCGCGCACTTCTCTTTTTAAACGATCAAAACCGAGGCCTTGTGTCTTAAAGGCATGTCACTGGAAGGAAAGCGAAGACAGTTTGGGGCAGAGGCGCTCGGAGCCGCGAGGCCAGAGGGCAGGGGCAGTGGCAAGTGGACTCCCGCAGCTTCGGGCCCCGCCGCCGCCCCTCTGAGCCCGGCTCCCCACCTGCTGCACCTCAGAGGTGGTGGGAGAGAGAGGCTGAGTCATCTCAGGGTGATCTTGGTACACCCCTTCTCACTCTGCGCCTCCATTTCGCACCTGGGCGATGAGGCCCCGCGCGTACTAAGCCAGAGTGTGTAGGCCGGGCTGGTGGGTTTCCGGCTGCGGTTGGGAGTAGGGAAGTGTGTCATTCCGCCTGCGCCCTGCAGAGGAAGCTCATCTGCCGTCTCTCTTCCTACCCCTCACCTGCAGGGATACCTGCCAGGGCCAGGAGCTGGGACAGCTGCACCCCATTGACAATTCTGGACAGGGCACTCAGATCAGTGGAAGAGAGGACCCCGCAGCACAGGGGCGGGGCCAGAGTGCCTGGTTGGCTGATGGTGCCCCAAGAGGGCAGGGCTGGAGGCGGAGCATGGATGGTTCCTGAGTCTGCCCCCTTCCAAGCCTTCAGCCCCCACCCACTTGCTCAGCAGTCACCCTCAGGGACCCAGAGCACCCGGAAGCCAGGTTGAGCTAGGAACCATGGGGTGGTGCCAGTCCCTGCCTCAGCCCCTGGGCCTGGGGTCCCTGACATTCTCACACCTTGGAGCTGATTGGAAGGTTTTGTGGGTTCCCAGGACACAGACTGGGGTTACCCGGTTCCCAGGGGTGGAGGGGCAGGTGAGATATCCACAGTACTTGGCAGCAGACCTAGAGGATGGAAGAGCTGGGGTAACCTCTCGGGTGGGTGTCTGAGGATTGGGGGGACAAGGAGGAACCCAGGCATGTCTCGTTGAGGTTTAGGGGTTTCTGTGGGTCACAGATGTGGGCAGGACCAGTCAAGGGCCAAGGGGTGTGTGTGTGAGGGAGGTGGCTGTGAGGATGAAGGGGAAATGGAGGGTCTGACCACCCTAGTAAGCTGGTGCCCCTGCTGAGGTCCACCTGTCTGAGCACTGGGACCTCCTCCTCAAGGGCATTGGAGTCAGCTGGGGCCTGCCGAGCCCACCCAAACTCCTGAACCAGAGGGGAGACCTTGGAGGTGGTTCTAAAAAGACCCTGGTGCATGGCCAGCGGATTGCATGCACCTGCCAGATGGACCCCGCCGTACTCCCAGGCGCCCCATCTCTGCCACAACAAGAGTCCTTAGCTGACAGGGCCCCTGGTTCCAGCATGGCCTGGGCCACAGGCAAATGCTCAAGAGGTTCAGAGACAGGGGTGAGGGGGCCCCTGCCCAGGTCATCTCTGCACCTCTGCTCTCCCATGGCCTGGCCCCACTCTGGGGAGCTGGACCTGGCGCTAGGGGAGGGGGAGGGACCCCTGAGAGCCTCCACCAAACCCAGAGAAGGTCCACCGTCCAGGAGCCAAGATGCCTCAACGGCGGACATGGGACACAGACAAACCAGACGCCACAGGCATGTTTCCATACATTTACTGGGGGCTTAGGATGGGAGGAGGGGCTGCAGGCTCAGTTGGCGGCCAGGATCTCCTGCACCCAGGGCATCAGCTTGGTGACACGAGCATACACGCCGGGGCTGGAGGTGGAACAGGTGCTACTGCCCCAGGACACAATGCCCACCAGGGTCCAGGCACCGTCTTTCTTGCAGACCAGGGGGCCGCCGGAGTCACCCTGCAGGGAAGGAGAGAAGGTTTGTCATGGCCACTCAGAGGTGCTGGCTGCAGGGCCCGACACTCACTAGCCTCTGATGGTAACTTCGCAGCTCCTACTGAGGTTTCACTCAGCCAAGTCTGGCTCAGGCCTTGTGCCAGGGTCCACAGTAATGAAAAGGGTCCAACTTTGGTGAACCCAGGTGTGTCCAAGTGGAACTGTGCTCTGCCGTGTTTTCAGTATGGGTTTTGGGGAAGTAGCTGGCCAGCCCTCTCTTGCAGGACACCTCTGGTTGAACTCTGAGCACCAACTTTCAGATCGCAGCTTTGGGGACTAACCGTTTTTAGCACCCAGGGTCCTTCACAGTCTCCTTTCTGACTGGACTAACCAGAGTTAGGTAGAGCTGAGACTCAGCCTCCATGTTCGGGCCACAGGCTGCACACTGCACAACTCCCAAGAGGAGTTCTCAAGAGGACCAACCAAATGGTGAGATCTATCCTAGACTGACCTTCCTCTGAGGCCCTGGGTCCCCCAAGAATCCTGCTTCCCCAACTGTGTGGGCAGGTGCCCCTGGAGAGCACACCTGCAGTTCCTGTATCCCCTCTCCCTGCCTGAGACTCTGGCTCAAGCTCCCCTGAACCCACCCCTCTGGGCAGAGTCCCAGCTGTACCATGCAGGAGGAGACGCCACTGGCACCGGCGCAGACCATGAGGTCCGTGATCTTGCTGCCCCAGTACTTCTTGCAGTCGGCATTGGACAGGAGGGGCAGGGCCGCCTGCTGCAGCCTCTCAGGGGTGTTGGCGTCTGTGAGGACAGGGGTGATCAGTACCTGTGGCCCCACCCTGCCTGGTGGCCCATACCTCCCACTTGCCCCCACAGCCACGGCCTTCACTTACTGGTGTGCTTGGTCAGGCCCCAGCCAGTGGTGGCGCAGAGGGAGCCGGCGGGGAAGTCATCCTGGGCGCTGGGCAGGCAGACAGCAGATACGGTCTGGGAGAAGCGGGCGGGTGTGGCCAGCTTCAGCAGAGTGATGTCGTTGTTGATGGTGAACATGTTGAATTTGGGGTTCTTGAAGACCTGCGGCAGAGGGGGGGACAGGTGCAGTGGGAGGTATGGAGGGAGCTTTGGTCCCTGGCTTTCTATCACCGCAGTTGCCTCTGTGGACAGCAGCCTGCAGCTCCCGTGTCCCCAGAGCCCAGAGGAGCCAGGGAAGCCTTGCATCTGTGGAAAGCCTGCCCCTGTGCCCTTTCTGCTGGGCTTGTCTTGTCCAGCGGGCTTTCAGGTGATCTGGAAGGGCCTGGGGAGGGAAGTTTTTGGCCTGGACCACACCCCACCTTGATCCCTCTCCTGCCTGCCTCACACCTGGACTCCTTGATCATCGTACCTGGGCAATCTTCAGCACCTGGATGTCCTCGGCATCTGAACCCTGGTCAAACTCTCCAGCCACGACCCGGTGGGAGGTTCTAGAGAGGGCCATAGAAAGTAGGGGGTTCTTGCCATGATATGGGGGCACTTCAGGGATGCCTTGGGTACGTGTGGGAGCGCAAATGTTCAGGTGTGCCCATCAGGTGAGCCTCCGAGTGTGTGCACACAGGTTGATGCCTGCTATCTAAGCCTGTGTGGTTGTCCTGCCCCACCACCCTGGGAAATGGGGAGGAGTGGTGCTTTCTAATTTTCCAGATAGAGAAACTGAGTCTCAAGTCAAAGAATTGTACTCAGGCTGAGGGTCCTCCCTCCCACATGCGTTGCCTGTAGAGCCAGCCTCACCTGACCCCGCAGTGGGCTGCAGTGACCACCCAGTCCTCGCTGATCAGGGAGCCCCCGCAGAAGTGGAAGCCGGTGCTGTCCTGGGGGAGGAGGAGGTTGGGTCAGTGTCCATGGTGGCCTGGCTGAAAGCCCCCCAGCCACCCTGGTCTCTCACCTGCAGGGACACCTGCCATGGCCAGGAGCCAGGGACAGCATCTTCCCCATTGACAATTCGGGCAAGGCCGCTGAGCACGGGTTGGATGGTGGGAACCCCACAGCCTAGGGTGAAAGGTCAGGCCAAGGTTGGCACTAATTCCCCACCCTGATGGTCCCACCTCCCCAGTCCCTGGGACCCGGCTCTTACCCCACCGCCTCAGAAGCCTGCCCTGCCTGCCTCCTGTCTAGAATCTCCGAGGCAGCTGGTCAGTCCCGGCCAGGCTGGAGTGCAGCCGGACCCTGGGGATGGCTGGGCGAGGTGGGCAAGGGCTGAGGCTGGGCTCTCTGCATTCGAGTCCAGGCCTGTCTCTACCTCTAGCAAGACCTCCCTGAGTCTGGTTCATCGACAAAACAGGGTTTGTGAGTTGCAGAACTCACACCATCAGGGTTCAGAGTTGGCAGGTACAGCGCTGGCTCTGCCCAGGCACCATGAGCCCTTGGTGAGCAGACGTGAGTCCACCAGCCAATTCATAGCCTCAGCACAGAGCGTGTCTGCCCCCCAAGACTGGACTCCCATGCCCGGCACAGGGTGCCCAGCTTCGGTACACTTCCCCAGGGCCGTTTGCACCTATTCTGGGATGCTCTGAGCAGAGTGCTGAGCCCAGGGCCCAGTCTCACACCCCATGCTGCTGGCCTGCCCTGGGGGAGACCCACCCAGCCTCTGGCCACCAGGCCCTCACCAAAGGCAGAGGCCAGGAGGCCGAAGCAGGAGAGAAGCCAGAGGAATGCCATGGTGCTGCCTCGGGAGCTGTGAGACACCAGGGCCGGCTTGCCCTGTTATATACTCAGGCCGGGCTGTATCTGAAGCCCTGGGGGGGGGGGGGGGGGGGGGAGGGAGAGGGGGAGGCTCGCTGCAGAACGCCCACAGGAAGGGTGTGCAGGAGCCCAGCCTGGGAGAAGCCACAGCTGCCCCTGGGCCAGGTTGCCAATGCCAAAATCGAAGGCAGGACTGGACTGGGTGACCCTTGACCCACAGCCAAGAGGCAGAGGTTGGGGCTGCAGGCCAGCCTGGCAAAAAGGCCTCTGAGCCCAGCCCAGTCCCCAGGGGCTGGGAGCCAGCCGATCAGGTAGTCTGGTCAGGACAGCCATGGATGTGGGCTTGGGGGTCTGGCGGCCACAATTCTCCCCTGCCTTTGGGATACTTCAGTGGTCGCTGGGCTATGACCCCCGTGTCAGCGTGCCACCCAGGAGACATCCTGCCTTCCGTGAGAGCCAGCTGGAGGTCATGTTAGGCAGCAGGCCTGGGTGACAGCATGGAGAACGGACGCTGCCCCAACCAGGGCGTGGGAGTGGGGTGGCCTTCATGCTTTGCGGGGAGGGAGCCGTGTCCCAGCAGCCCTGGGCTGCCCCATGGCCATGGGAGCCACCAGCTGGCCCTGCCAGCCTGACTTGTACTCTCCCCAGGTGGCCAAGGCTTTGGGAATAAGCACAGCTGGAGCTGAGGAACGGTGAGCCCTGGTGCCAGGTGCTGTCCCCCCCACCCCGCCCCGTGCTGAATCTCACAGTCCTGCGCCCAGCATGGCTATTCCTGCTTCCCCCCAACCACAGGACCTTGAAGAGCACCCCTTCCCCAAACTCCCTCTGAGAGGAAAAGCCCAGGTGTCAGTTTTAGATGCAGGTGGGAGGCCTGGAACCTGCCTGATTTAATAGCCCAACAAGGATTGGACCCCTGCCCTGTTCTTTCCCCACCTCTGCTGGGTCAGGTGCCCAAGGGCCACACTGGCAGAGCCATTGTCGCCCTGGGCGACCTCTTGCCTCACATGTGACAGTCCGCTTTGAAGTCACCTTGGAATAGTTGGTGTCAGGGAACCTACCCTGGCTCCTTGGCCACAGCCGCCCCAGAAGGGAGGATGCCTGCCACATGAAATTGACTTTTTAGTTTCTCTTTTGACCCTCAAGCTAGTTTATTTTGGTCTTTCACCTTTTCCCATTGTTTTTATGAATTTTCTATTGTGTGTGAATTAGGTGGAGGGATACACTCTCAAGATCGTTTTGAACATTTCAAAGCTTCATAAAGCTGCCAGAACAGTCCACTAATCTCTCGCTGGCAACACTGTGCCCTGTGCCCTTTCTCACACGGACACAATTAGTAAACCCAGACCTGTTGTTCAGGTGCAGGTAGTGATCATTCAGTAATTACTGTCCTCACCTAAGTCTTCGAGCATTTACGAATGGTGCCCGAATGCTCCCTTCAACAAGCTGAAGACCACCTCCCCTGCCTCTTCTCCCTGGTCCCCCGGCATCAGTTAACCACCATCCTCCAAACCCTGAACCTCCACTGCCCTGCGGGACCCCTTCCCTCGGCCCCAGGCTGAGCTCTGCGCCCCTCAGACAGGACTCGGCACGGCCGCAGCCCAGGTGCCGCATAGCTCAAGTTGACAACACACAGGCTTTCCCTGGGCTCCATGTCCCGTAGCCCCCCCCCCCCCAAATTCTGACTCGGCTCTGGCTCTCAGATGTGAGGTGGAGGATTCACCATGCTTTGGTGGCCACTGTATTACCAGTCCTGGCCACACAGATGGCCCAAGTGGTCATTGGATTTTTTACAATGCTGTTGCAGGGCCTCGGGGCACCCAGGATAGCACAGTGGGAGACTGCCCCACTCACCAAGTGCTGAAGGGGCGGGCAGGGAGTCGGCCATGGGACCCAGGGAAGCAAGCACTGACTCCTATGTGCTCCTACTCGCTCTCGGCCTCGTCTCCCAGTAGTCTCTCCCTTGGGTGAGCCCAGAGCATCCCTGCCTGAGGGTCCATCCCAGGGCAGCCAGGGGAAGGGGGGAGGGCCTGTGGGACACCTGGCAGACAGCCGGCACCATGGTCATGGTATTTTGTCATTGAAGATGGCTTTCTTGCCAGAGACATGACGGACGTGACTACACAGTAGGGATTTGTGCTTCTCACGCACCAGACTTGGAGGTAAGCCACCTGTGCTCCACAGCTCAGACCCATAGTTCGGTCAGGGTCTCGGGCACCTCATCCTCACAGGACTGCTGAAGGGCAGAGAAGTTAGCCCCCTCCACCTTCACAGTTCGCCACCGCAGGCACTCCTCCCTGAGAACCCAGTGTGGTCTGGAGGGGAATGATGGTAGCAACCCTCCCACTCGGCCCCTAAGGAACCTCACCTCACAGCCTACTTTGAGTAGGCTGGCCTGAGAGCCAAAGGACTTCCTCAGGTATAAACACAGTGGCAAATATGCAAAACGCTACCGAGTGGCCCTGGCCTTCCATCGACAGCATCACCACCATGCTGAGTTTACACTATCCCAGGCAGCTGGTCCACTGCCTGTCTTTCAGAAGAGACCTAGTTGTGCACTGGGTCAGGCATTGGGCTGCACAGGAGAACGGCAAGGCTGTCTGCTCCCACAGCGGCGTACAGGCTCAGAACCCCTGTGGACTGGGCCTAGTGCCCTGGAAGGTTGCTCTGCGCTGGACTTGGCTCTGGGCAGAGGGTGGGTGGGTTTCGTCTAGCTCACACCAGGCCTGGGTGCCTTGAACAGTGCCAGGCTCCTGGCAGGACGTGGGGTCCGTCAGCTGGTCCCCAGCATCACTGGTCAGTTTCCAACACCTCCCCCTTTTCTCACTCCTTCTACCCACCCATTTCTCAGGGTTCTGCCCCAGTCTGGTAGGGAGCTTTGCTTCCTCAGTGTGTCCTCTCATGGTGCAGAATCAAAGCCCCACCTTACGGGGAAGGAGCTTTACATCGTGATCCGTCTACGTGGTGAATCAGCCCCGAGGCGGCAGTGGCTGCTGTGGGATACACAGGACTCCCTGCCAAGGCCCCTGGGTGTGGGCAGTTCCTGAGGTTACAGGGTCATTTCCCTGCTGGTAGGAGCTGAGTGGCCCCCAAGGCACGGAGACACACCGGCTTGTCCTGTGGCACGAGCATGACCACTGAGCAGTCCCTGCGAGGCCCACAGCTGCCCCTTTTCCCAGGAGCTGGATGGCCCCGGCTGAGTGCCAGACCGGTTTGAGGGCCCTGCTTATCGCCCAAGGTCCCTGAATGACCATGTGGGGGTGGGTCTCAGGCCCTGGGGCTGGGCGGGGCTTGGGCACCCCCCCAGGGGATAAGAAGGGGCCCTCAGCAGAGAGCCCCACATCTCCCTCCTGACCACAGCACCATGGCTAGCTTCTGGTTCCTCTGCTGCTTTGCCCTCGTGGGGGCCGCCTTCGGTGAGAGTCCCTGCAGACCCAAGTCCAGGTCCCAGCGTAGCTGGAGGCCGGCCTTGGAGGGCGGGTTGAGGCTGCACTGGGGAGGAGGCCTCTGGGGCCCTCCCGCTGCCCTATGCTGGGGGGCAGAGGAGAGAAGCCTGGCTCCTCTGGTCTTTGAGTGCACCATGGAGTTCGGGGGGCTGAGGTGCATACAGAGGCAGGGGATACATGGCCTGGCTTTGCTTCCTTGTCCCAGATGATCCACTCACAGCTAGCAGGGCCAGGGAACCTTTCTTTCTCCCACCAAGGACTGTTCGAAGACTGGAACAACCTCGTCTGGCCATACTGGTCAGGCACTGGTTAGCTTACCTCGAGTCCGACGGCTGCAACTGCTTCCCTTTGGGGAGGTGTGCCATGCCGGTCGCTGGCTTGAGCGTTTGGGGGCCTTCCTGACACAGCCCGCAGGTTGGCCGGCCAGCCGGCTGCTCACTCATCAGATTGGCTCCACTTGTATCTTTAACAGCCAGAACGCACTAGCAGCCCTGTTTCTCTGCAGGTTTTTAAAATACCTTCATTCCACTTTACCCATAAGCAACACAGGCATTGGGGGTTTTTAAATCCTATACGTAAAGGCTACAGCCATCTGCTCCGGTTGTAATGCGCCTTCCCTGGCCCCAGGAGTCCAGCTGGTCACAGCCTGCGCACCCACACAAGTTCTACTTGATATTGGGTCCTTAAAAAGAGTCCGTGTGGGTGTGCGAGGCCAGGAGCAGGTGCCCGGCCACTGGGCAGTGAGGAGTGCACCTACTCAGCTCCCTGGGCGCAGTGCGCCGAGGCCGAGGGGCCACCCAGGCTTGCTTCTCCTTCACAGATGCCCCCAGTGTCTTCCCTACCCCCTGTGGTGTGGAGCCGGAAGGCCCCTCACTGAATCGTGGAGACAGAAACACTGCCCAGGGACTAGTTCCCTGCGTGGTGGCTGTGACGGAAACAGACTGCCACGCAAGCGAGCACAGCTGAGTGCTCGTCCCCTTCAGCCAGTGTCAGCGTTGTTTCTAGAGTCCCCTGGGACCTGCCAGTCTAGGGGGGAGAGATCCGACCTGTGAAGCTGGCCTCAGGTCACTGAGGATGGGGGGCAGTCGCTCTGGGCCTCAGCTCCGCCGGGACAGCAGGGTGGCCTGGGAGCTGAGCTGGGCACCCTGGCTTCTCCAAGCAGGCTGACCCAGCTGCCACCCCAGAGGGCTGTTTGGGCTTAGCTGCCTGTGTCTGGGGGAGGGGGTGGAATCCTTGGGGCTAGAAGAGGGAGCCACCTAATGGGCTCTGGTGGGGACAGCTGACCTGAGGCTGGGGGTTTGGGGACCCCTTGGCTCCTGGACTCAGCCCTCTCCCGCTGCCCCACAGGCTGCGGTATTCCCTCCATCGAACCTGTGCTGAGTGGCCTGTCCAGGATTGTCAATGGAGAGGATGCTGTGCCCGGCTCCTGGCCCTGGCAGGTGTCCCTACAGGTGCGTATGGGTTGCGGGCCCCCTGTTACGGTATGGCCCAGGCTGGGGGCACACTGCCTAGGGAGAAGTCGCTGACCACCCCCTTCCCTCCCTAGGACAACACCGGCTTCCACTTCTGCGGAGGCTCCCTGATCAGCGAGGACTGGGTGGTCACTGCCGCCCACTGCGGGGTCAGGTGAGACCTGGCTGGGCTCAGGTTCGTTGGGGGTGGGGAACAGAGTGCATTCATGGCCTTCAACGCCCCTTCCCCATGTATTTGCCTAGGACCTCCCACGTGGTCGTGGCTGGCGAGTTTGACCAGGGCTCTGACGCCGAGGACATCCAGGTGCTGAAGATCGCCCAGGTACATCCCTCCGGGGAAGACTGCTCAGAAGCCTCCTTCCTGTGCGGCTCCTGGGAGGGTCTGTCCAGTGAAAGGGCCTGCCCCCCAGAATGAAATCTTTCCGGGAACCCGCAGACCCCTGACTTAACTCTGCCTGCGCCGCCCAGGTTTTCAAGAACCCCAAGTTCAACATGTTCACCGTCGGCAACGACATCACTCTGCTGAAGCTGGCCACACCCGCCCGCTTCTCCCAGACCGTGTCCGCTGTCTGCCTGCCCAGCGCCCAGGATGACTTCCCTGCCGGCTCCCTCTGCGCCACCACTGGCTGGGGCAGGACCAAGTACAACGGTGAGCGGGCATCCAGGGGAGCCCGATGAAGTGTGTAGGGGGAGGGCAGGTGTCTCCAGGGGCCCTGTGCATCCTCCGACAGACCCTGACCCAGACCCCTTGGCCTCCAGCCATCAAAACCCCGGAGAAGCTGCAGCAGGCGGCCCTGCCCCTGCTGTCCAACGCTGACTGCAAGAAGTACTGGGGCAGCAAGATCACCGACGTGATGGTCTGCGCAGGCGCCAGCGGCGTCTCCTCCTGCATGGTACCGCCCCACCCCCCATTCCGCCCCCCGAAGGCTTTCAGCTAACCGAGGGCTCCCGGTTATGCACGCTCCCCAGAGGTGGGCTTCAGCCCACTTTTCAGACAGTGCCCAGGCTGGAGGGGGTTGGTGGTGCGCCCCCTGCCCCCAGGCCTCGTCCCCGAGGGAGCGATGCACATCTGCACCCCACCATACCTTCCCGGACCCCACATCTGGGCACACGAAGGCCCAGCACCCCCTTCCACAGATGGTAACACACCCTTCCTCCCCC